TCAATTAGACGTCAGGCGAATTGTCTTGTGGGCTAGAATAACGTGAAAAAAACTGCATTTTAATATTCTCAACGGTTGCCGAATAAATAACAAAAAACTGAAATTATAGCATGATGCTAGGGTCACGTTTTTTTTCCGATTTTGGATGAAAATTTTTTGTTTCCGATTTTGATGATTTTCACAACGTTGATACCTTATGACATAAGGAAAATGCCATTAAAAAATTTCGATCGCACTTCAAATAGTTTTCGAGAAAAACGCATTTTTAATATGTGAAAAGTAGCGAATGGTTTTTAGCGAATATCTCGGGAACGGTTAGAGCTATCATAAAAATTTTTGCACCTGCAGATACATATTTTAAATGCGCATATTTCATTCATATACATCATGACCCTATTTTGAATATTTTCCGAGATATGGGCATTTAACTGTTTCAAACATGAAAATTTGAAACTGTTTTTGGAGTATATCTCGCGAACGGTAAGAGGTATTTTAAAAATTGTTATACTGGGTCAAAGATCTTTTGATTTAGAATATTTCATCTGGGAACATCAATGTCCTATGATGATTCGTTCAAAAGTTATAGGCGCTTAAAGATTTCACGAGTAAAAAATGCCCAAAAAATGGCCGAAAAATTTGTTAGTTTTTTTAATTTTTCACAAACTTCCCGGACACGTAGAAGCTTCAATTAGACGTCAGGCGAATTGTCTTGTGGGCTAGAATAACGTGAAAAAAACTGCATTTTAATATTCTCAACGGTTGCCGAATAAATAACAAAAAACTGAAATTATAGCATGATGCTAGGGTCACGTTTTTTTTCCGATTTTGGATGAAAATTTTTTGTTTCCGATTTTGATGATTTTCACAACGTTGATACCTTATGACATAAGGAAAATGCCATTAAAAAATTTCGATCGCACTTCAAATAGTTTTCGAGAAAAACGCATTTTTAATATGTGAAAAGTAGCGAATGGTTTTTAGCGAATATCTCGGGAACGGTTAGAGCTATCATAAAAATTTTTGCACCTGCAGATACATATTTTAAATGCGCATATTTCATTCATATACATCATGACCCTATTTTGAATATTTTCCGAGATATGGGCATTTAACTGTTTCAAACATGAAAATTTGAAACTGTTTTTGGAGTATATCTCGCGAACGGTAAGAGGTATTTTAAAAATTGTTATACTGGGTCAAAGATCTTTTGATTTAGAATATTTCATCTGGGAACATCAATGTCCTATGATGATTCGTTCAAAAGTTATAGGCGCTTAAAGATTTCACGAGTAAAAAATGCCCAAAAAATGGCCGAAAAATTTGTTAGTTTTTTTAATTTTTCACAAACTTCCCGGACACGTAGAAGCTTCAATTAGACGTCAGGCGAATTGTCTTGTGGGCTAGAATAACGTGAAAAAAACTGCATTTTAATATTCTCAACGGTTGCCGAATAAATAACAAAAAACTGAAATTATAGCATGATGCTAGGGTCACGTTTTTTTTCCGATTTTGGATGAAAATTTTTTGTTTCCGATTTTGATGATTTTCACAACGTTGATACCTTATGACATAAGGAAAATGCCATTAAAAAATTTCGATCGCACTTCAAATAGTTTTCGAGAAAAACGCATTTTTAATATGTGAAAAGTAGCGAATGGTTTTTAGCGAATATCTCGGGAACGGTTAGAGCTATCATAAAAATTTTTGCACCTGCAGATACATATTTTAAATGCGCATATTTCATTCATATACATCATGACCCTATTTTGAATATTTTCCGAGATATGGGCATTTAACTGTTTCAAACATGAAAATTTGAAACTGTTTTTGGAGTATATCTCGCGAACGGTAAGAGGTATTTTAAAAATTGTTATACTGGGTCAAAGATCTTTTGATTTAGAATATTTCATCTGGGAACATCAATGTCCTATGATGATTCGTTCAAAAGTTATAGGCGCTTAAAGATTTCACGAGTAAAAAATGCCCAAAAAATGGCCGAAAAATTTGTTAGTTTTTTTAATTTTTCACAAACTTCCCGGACACGTAGAAGCTTCAATTAGACGTCAGGCGAATTGTCTTGTGGGCTAGAATAACGTGAAAAAAACTGCATTTTAATATTCTCAACGGTTGCCGAATAAATAACAAAAAACTGAAATTATAGCATGATGCTAGGGTCACGTTTTTTTTCCGATTTTGGATGAAAATTTTTTGTTTCCGATTTTGATGATTTTCACAACGTTGATACCTTATGACATAAGGAAAATGCCATTAAAAAATTTCGATCGCACTTCAAATAGTTTTCGAGAAAAACGCATTTTTAATATGTGAAAAGTAGCGAATGGTTTTTAGCGAATATCTCGGGAACGGTTAGAGCTATCATAAAAATTTTTGCACCTGCAGATACATATTTTAAATGCGCATATTTCATTCATATACATCATGACCCTATTTTGAATATTTTCCGAGATATGGGCATTTAACTGTTTCAAACATGAAAATTTGAAACTGTTTTTGGAGTATATCTCGCGAACGGTAAGAGGTATTTTAAAAATTGTTATACTGGGTCAAAGATCTTTTGATTTAGAATATTTCATCTGGGAACATCAATGTCCTATGATGATTCGTTCAAAAGTTATAGGCGCTTAAAGATTTCACGAGTAAAAAATGCCCAAAAAATGGCCGAAAAATTTGTTAGTTTTTTTAATTTTTCACAAACTTCCCGGGCACGTAGAAGCTTCAATTAGACGTCAGGCGAATTGTCTTGTGGGCTAGAATAACGTGAAAAAAACTGCATTTTAATATTCTCAACGGTTGCCGAATAAATAACAAAAAACTGAAATTATAGCATGATGCTAGGGTCACGTTTTTTTTCCGATTTTGGATGAAAATTTTTTGTTTCCGATTTTGATGATTTTCACAACGTTGATACCTTATGACATAAGGAAAATGCCATTAAAAAATTTCGATCGCACTTCAAATAGTTTTCGAGAAAAACGCATTTTTATATGTGAAAAGTAGCGAATGGTTTTTAGCGAATATCTCGGGAACGGTTAGAGCTATCATAAAAATTTTTGCACCTGCAGATACATATTTTAAATGCGCATATTTCATTCATATA